AAAATCAAAATTCAATGTCAAAAAAAGGGGTGGGCATTCGATAATTTGGTTCGGTTTCGGATTTTTTTCGATTTTCGGTTGTTGTACAATGTGTACCGAACACCGAACCGAAATAATTCGATTCGATTCGATTTTTATTATTTCGATTCGATTTTGTTATTTCATTTTTTTAATGGGCCTGCTTAGTTGGATTTTTTAAAAGGAATAATTACCTGAATATACAACTTAAGTTTACATAATTTATACTTTTTTAAATTTACAAAAAAAAATTGATTTTTCAGCTTTATGGGCTAACAATAGTTACATCAAAAGTGTCTTTTACTTTTTTATTTTTTATTTTAAATTATAATATTTATTATTTAATATTAATAATTAATATAATATAAATATATATTATAATAAAATATATTTCGATAAATCGAAATACCGAATAATACAAAATTACATAAAAAAATCGAATCAAGATACCAAAAAATACAAAAACATATACTGACGAATCAAAAACCAAAGAACTAAAATACTAAAAAAATTAATTCAATACGATATTTCAATTTTTCAATATTTATGCTTAGCCCTAATCAAAAATTAAATAGAGGATATTGAGTAGGGCATATTCTTTGTGCAATATTGAAATGGACTTCCACTAATATAATTAGGTGGACAACTTTTTGTGAATATACAAATAAATAAATAATGATACATGAAAAAACGTGTATTTTGGTATCTCTTCAATATATACATGATGATAACATGAAAATTCCTGAAGTAGCCATTATTTTTATAATAATAAAATTGGAGTCAATATATCAATCGTTAATAATGTTTCTTCAAATAAATTCATGATATATGTAGTATGGAAATTTACCATGATATTGTCAATATTACATTTATCGTCATTTTGTTTTTCATACATTTGAAATATAACTATTATTATGAGTTTAAAATATAACAAATGGAACTCAAAAGAATATTATCATCAAATATCCGTGGAATTTAAAACTTTATAATAATAATATAATACTAATTATAATAATAATAATAATAATAATAATAATATATATTCAAAAAGTGATTAATGAGTTATTTTATAGAGAAACTTTCACATATGACAAATATGAAAAATATGAAAATCATATTTGTATATTGTAACTATAGTTTGCATAATTGCGCTCCATAACAAGCATAAATATGTATATTTATATACATATGCAAAAGAAACACAGTTGCATAGTTTCGCTATACATATACAAAAGAAAACAGTTGTATAATCTACTTTGATATACATATTACAAAAAATCAATTGTATAATATGTGTTTGTATAAAGTGATAAAAAGAGAAAAACAAAAGAAAACTTCTCAGGGGAAGATCGTATTTGTATAACTAAAAGTGTATGGATGAAAATATATGTATTTGTATATACAATTTTCTCTCGCTTTATACAAATACAAACACAATGAATACATTTGTGTTTGTATAAAGTGAGAAAGACGAGTGAGCGAGCGAGATCTGGGAGAGAGGAACAAAAATATATGTATATATACAATTTTCTCTCGCTTTATACAAACACAAACACATATTATACATTTGTATTTTTGTATAAAGTGATAGAAACAATTGAGCGAACGAGATATGGGAGAGTGGCGAGCGAGATCTGGAAGATGGGAGAGAAGGGAACAAAAATATATGTATATATAGAAATTTCTCTAGCTTTATGCAAACTCAAATGCATTTTATACATTTGCATTTGTATAAAAGCGAGAGAGGCGAGGGACAGAACGAGAGTGGCGAGTGAGATTCACCATGAGAGAGGTGAAATAACAATAATTTACTATGGAGTACAATTAAATTAAACTATGATTATAACATTTAATTTGAATTAGTAATTTGCTATTATATACGATTTTTCCTTTTTATATTTAAGAGAGCCTCAAATCACAACCATTTTGAGTACTGTGACCCAATCGAAGTTATGGGCCTTTTTTGCTTCTAAAGTGGGATGGGCCAAAATGTGAAGTTATAGAATTAAGCCCATTATATAGCTTGGACTATTACTATATGTAGTTTTATGGAAAAATTACATGAATTAATACTTTTTTTAAAAATAATTATTGATTTTAATGATACTTTTTGTTTATTATCATTTATAGCAATAATGTGCTAAAATTATAATATGTATTAAAAATGAATTATGTATGCAATATATTTGAATTATAACTGTTTTTGAAATATCTTATGTTTGTTTGGTAAAAAATTGTCACATTGTATTATAAGTCTATTAAAATGTGTGATAAATGCATTATCCATCATTAAAACTTGTATTATATGTAAATAATAAATCATTCTTTGTAATATGTATTAAACTTGTATTATAAATAAATTAAAAGTGATTAAGTGAAAAAAATATGTTTTAATTCTATAAATGATAAATATTTTTTTATTATAATATATTTACGTAACTTTTTCGAGTTTTCTTTGCTTTGTGAGAATGAGGTGGGTAGGTGGGGGTGGGGAGGGGGGGCTCTTATATCTTGGCAATGTCAAGTCATTTTTCAAGTAATGGGACACAAAGAACTTGTTGAAATGTCACTATTACAAGCAAAATGTTACTATAATAGTGTGGGGTGAATCTAAATTTAAGGCTCACCACATTCATTTGGTCCTTTCAATTGTCCCCATCACTCACTTCCTACCTTTTGACAATTCATTTTCATTTGTTAAAATATATGTGAATTTCAAGATTTCAACAAATATTCTTTTATATATATAATTTTTAATGTGTGTGAATTTTTATTGATTCGTCATTATATGGGTTTATATGAATTATCTGTCACTCACGTCAACTAAGTATTTATCGACATCAAAGTTCAGTGCCTTCTAATGTTTGAATATGTATTTTCAAAGTTATGAGTAAAAATAGCAACTTGATCCATAGACGAGCAATTACATTAGCTGAACTTCACCAATCAAAACATCTTAATACCCGTTTAGTCAAACTATTGAATCTCATACTCATTATGAAGTTCAATCAATTCGAAATACTTTTAACATTATCTGATATTCCTAGAACAACTTCACATTATTTTATAATAAATATAAAATAATTTATTCTCTAAAAAAATTGATACATTATACATATAAAAATGACATAACTTATTTAAACCAAAGCATTTGATCTCTTGTGATTCCCATTTCCCACCCTCACAAAACGACATTGTTGAATTTGATGTCCTTTTAGTCAAATGCATAAAAAAAAAAAAAATCTACTCACATATAATAACAATTATCAATATAAATAACAATATTATTATTTTTATAATAATAATAAAAAATATTTTTATAAGTAAGGGCACTATTTACTAGGGTAAAAACAGAATAAATGTATAACGACAATATTAATTTGGGAACCTTTACTACACCTTGTCAGAACAGAAAATTTAATATAAATGATGGAGTATTGAATTTATTATTTTGAGAAAAAAAAATTGCGGGTATTTGGGTAACTGTAAAATTACTTTCTCTGTTTTAAATTATTTGTCATGTTGCGCTTATCAAAAGTCAATTTAATTAAATTTTTAAAGGTAAATTAGATCACATTAATTCGTTATTTTAAACAAAAAAGTTAGATATTCTAAAAATATATGAAAAGTATTATAAATTAATATTTTTACATATTAATATGATGAAAAAATGCATCTTAACATGTTAAGTCAAATTTTTTATAATTTAACTCTAAAAATAAAAACAATGACAGATAATGCCGGACGGAAGAAGTAATTGATACTCCCAAATATTTATTTATTTATTTATTTTCAGTCCAATTTCATTTAATTAAATGCAAAACTGCAGTTCGCACGTACTGTTTCCTACCGAGGAACTCATTTTTTTATTGTGTAATTTGCGTGATAGAGAAATTGCATCTGATAAAATTTGAATTCGAAAGGGAAATATTTAAACTAAGGTTTCATATAAAGTATGATAATAAAATATCTAAACATGAAACAAATAAACACATACTATAGTATCTTGAAGAAAAATAAACTATTAGTACTAAATAGTCAATTTCTTTAGCATATTTAAATTCGATATGAAATTTAAATAAATAATGTCAAATATATCAAAAAAATCATTTGATCAGACTTCAAACATATAATGTTTGGAAAATTTTGAAATAAAAAAAGAACTGCTAAAAAGAAAAAGAAGAATCATAGATAAATGAATAAATAAAGTCAAATAAATTGAAACACACGAAATATTGCTAATATTATAGTAAGGCATGAGGCTAGGCTACCCAACCTTTCTGGTCTAAAAGATTATCTACTAATTTTCTACTCTAATATTCGATTTCTATACTTTAACTAAAGCTACATCATATTCTATTTAATTACCTTCTTTAATTTTCTTTTTCAGCCTACATTTACCTTTTCCAATTATCACCACAACCAACTACGCACATCTTTTTATTTATACATTCGTACACCTCATTTTCACGTGATCAAATCATCTCAATTTCATTTCCATCATCTTATCCTCAACAAAAGGTCATTCCCTCATTTTCATGTTCATGGTTTTACCCACGGAGGGATCGTTTGGTAGCTAGAGTTATTCAGATATTAATAATATTGTATGCATGTATTCGTTATATATGAATTTTATAAATTATTGTATGTATGTATTTGTTACGTATAAATTTTATTTATTCATGTATTGTAATACAAATCTCTAAATTGTCAATCAAATATTATATTAATTTTATACATGTATGACTTATTTCCTATTTATCAATCAAACATTATATAAGTTATACAAAAAATAACACATAAATAACTTAAAATTTATCCAGCTACCAAACCACCCTTCGTCAATATTTAAAAGTTTACTCCCTCGATTTCAATTTATGTGATACTTTTTATTTTTAAGAGTCAAATTACTTAAATTTAATTAAAAATTTACGCATGAAATCTTTATTTAAAAATATTATAAATTATAATAATTGATATCAAAATAATTAAAAAGTATATTATAAATTTAGATCACAAACTTATTTTAATTTCGAAATGTAAAAGGTATGACGTAAATAGTGTGAGGGACAGAGGGAGTGAGTAGTAAAAAACAACAGACAAAACAAGCAAAACGCAGAAAGCGTAAAAAAGTTGGCGCTGCAATCTTCAAAAAAAAAAAAATAATGCTGAAAGAGAGAAAAAGCTTTTAAATGTTCATAAATGGCTACGATTATCTGAGATTTTTTCTCGAAATTGATTATCGCCGATTTTGATCGCCGTGTCGCTGATAGGTTTCCGGTGAGATTCCATTAGCATTTCATTCCGGTGAATGTTATAGTAACGTTTTTTTTTTCGTTTGTAGTATTTGTTATTTGGTGTAATGTGAGATCTGAGTTTCAGTTTACGGAGAAGTGAAATTGAATGATTGTTTGATTTTACGTGTGATCAAGTTAGTGGATTCTTATAATTCATTATTTATTTTTTGAAAAATGTTAATAATGCAGCAATGTGAATATTGTTGATCCAAACTAGTTCAATATTGCGGCTGAGTAGTTTTTGTTTTGATTATATATGTTGAGTTTTGCCTGTCATAGCATTTTACCTCTTTTTTATCGTTGTCTAAGCTGAAAGTCTGTTGGAAACAGCCTCGGGTAAGGTGTAGACCTCACACGTGAGATTACACTGGGTTTGTCGTTGCTGCTGCTGGTGGTGGAGCTAGGATTTTCTCGAAGGAGTTTCAATTTACTAAGAAGAAAACATGTGAAGAAGCCGAGGGATTCAACATCTACTATATACATACATAAGAAATAATTTAACTTTGTATATACAATGTAATCTTTTGCCGAACCCCCTCGCCCCTACCTAACTCCGCCATGGTTGTTGCTGTATGGTGTAATGTGAGATATGAGCTTCAGTTTACGGTAATTGAATACTTGGTTGGATTTGGATGTGATCAAGGTAGAGGATTCTTAAATACCTCGTGCATATATATTCTTTTGTTGAAAAAAAATATATGATGTTGATATTAAATTTATAGCTGGCTTGAATAGGAACAACGTGGATATAGTTAACAAACTAGTTCAGGATTGTGGCTTATTAGTTGTTTTTTAAGTATACATTTCGAGCTCTGCCTGTCTGTACTGCTATTTCTTTAACATTTTACTGGAACTATATATCAGTTTGAGGAATGTCGGTGGAGTTCAATACAATAATTGGTGTGAGATAATATATTCAATCTTCTTTATTTCCATTCTGTGGTAGTTTGATGCAAGGTTTGACTGGACTGCACAAATTAATAGTATTAATGGAGCTTGATGTTTTTTTTTTCCTGATGAGCTAGAGTACTCTTTGCAGAGTTAAATTATTTTCAAATTCATTTGGAAAATCATTGCGACATTATGAAACAATGCTTGTCTTCTCTTTTGGCAAAAATTATTTGTCTTCTTTTTTCTAGGAAGTCTGGGATTCTGGTGGCTTAAGTGTAACCTGTGCTTGGATGGTTTTGAGACGGAAAAGCCATAATTGCATTGAACTCTAGGGGCACAACTTACTTCGTCATTCTTTTCTCCTCCTTGTCACATAGATGTCAGGTTTGTTACCTCATTTAATCGTTGAACTGAAGATTTTTTTGGGATAGTTCAATTAGTGTTTGCTCTATGATACTCTAGTATGAATTCTCTGAATAGTATCCTGTGTTCTAGAAGGGGGATCAGATGCTTATTATGATGACCGTAGAGAAAGAAAATCAGACTTTGAGAATTCTGAGGATGAAACACGGAGATTCAGAATTGGTGCTTTCAGGAAAAAGGCAATCAATGCTTCCAACAAGTTCACTCGCTCCCTCAAAAAAAGAGGAAAAAAGAAAGTTGATTACAGGTTTCCTTCGGTTTTGATAGAGGATGTCCATGATTCAAAGGAGGAAAATGTTGTCTATGAATTGCATCAAAAACTTCTTGACAGGAATTTGTTGCCACCCATACATGATGACTACCATACCTTGTTGAGGTGAGTTGCCTTTTGAGTTGTATAATTCTTTGGTTGACAGGATTCTCAGTTGCGCGAGTGTTGGCCATTTTTAGTGATAACTTACACTAAAAGCAGTAGAATTTGACGGAAAATGTCTCTTCAAGTCCTCCATTTGTCATGGCTATTTTGTTTTGAACCTTACTCACAGTCTAGTAAGCTGTCTATGTCTGCACCTTGCAAGTTGTGTCCTTATATTGGTTTTAGTGATTCTTGTGCACCGATTGCAAGTGTACAATCTTATGTTGGTATTCTATTATTTATAGATTCTTAAAGGCAAGAGATTTCAACATTGAGAAGACAATTCAGATGTGGCAAGAAATGCTTAACTGGAGGAAGGAGTACGGAACAGACACAATATTGGAGGTAGTTAAATACTACAGGCGTAAATTTGTCTTGTGATCACCATAACTCTAATTTTAGCATTTTGCTTCAACTTTATTTGCTTATTGGACCTTGTGACTGCTCAGGATTTTCACTTTGAAGAGCTGGAAGAAGTCTTGCAGTATTACCCCCAAGGATATCATGGAGTTGACAGGGATGGAAGGCCCGTGTATATTGAAAGGCTTGGACAAGCTCACCCGAACAAATTAATGCGAATCACCACAATTGATCGCTACATGAAATATCATATCCAAGAGTTTGAAAGGGCCCTACATGAGAAATTCCCTGCATGTTCTATTGCAGCAAAGAAAAGGATCTACTCAACAACCACAATTTTGGATGTGCAAGGCCTTGTATGTTGCTTCACTTGATGGATAATTTACCAAAATTGATGACTGTCTTCAAATCTCTGTTGCATTTCTTTACACAATCTAAAACTTGATGAAGCCATATAGCTTTTATTGCGACAATGAAGTACTTCCGTGTTAATTTCATATCTACATGCATTAAACAATTAAGTGAGACTGCAAATAGCTTAGCATGCCCACGGTATTTCTAAGAATTAGGTGGAGCTCTTGGGTCCTTCAATTTCTGTCTCCACATAGTTTGGATTTGCCTTTACCAAAGTGATTTATGGATAATGTTATGCGAATAACATGTATTCCCATTAAACTTTGCCAGACAAAGAATGTTTACCCCTCTATAAGGTCTTTTAATAGTGTTACTCCTTATTTTAAAAAAAAGTCTTATAGAAGTGTTGTCGACAGCTTGCTGCTTCTTGTTCAATTTCACCTATTAAGAAGTATGCCATTGATTGCAGGGAGTTAAAAACTTCACCAGGACAGCTGCTACTCTTTTGGCAGCTATGGCAAAAGTTGATAACAATTATTTTCCTGAGGTATTGGCTGTCATCCTGAATGAATAGTTAAATTAGATTTCATGTAGTTATTCAGATTCCGTTGTTAATGATTTCTGACATCTATAGACATTACAACGGATGTTCATTGTCAATGCTGGCCCTGGCTTCCAAAAGATACTTTGGCCTGCAGCACAGAAATTTCTGGATGCAAAGACTATTGGCAAAATACAGGTGGAGGAAAGCAGGGGCTTCTTTTCTTCTACTCATTTGGTCCAACTTCAACTGACTGAATATCTGTGTTCTCATCTGTACTTTGCAGGTTCTGGAACCTAAATCTTTGGGTAAACTGCTTGAGGCGATTGACCCTAGGTTTTTCTCTCTCTATTGTTCATATAGACCTACCTGTTTGAAAAGAAAATGTTAATTTCTGTATCTGATATTTTCTGTCCAGTCAGTTACCTGACTTTCTGGGTGGCTCTTGTACCTGTTCTGTTGAGCGTCGCTGTCTCAGGTCTAACAAGGGTCCATGGAGTAATCCTGAAATAATGAAGGTGGGTTTGTTGGTGTTTTTACTATTTTCTTCTTTTCATGGCTCTTCTCGTTAATGTTTAGGAATTATTTCTTCATGTGAGGTAACCAATAATTTTCTGCTCCACTTTTAGCTTTTACATGACTTAGAGGCAAAAACTATGAAGCAAATATCTAGAATATCCAGAGATCAAAGGAGAATTGATTCCTCTAAACAGATACGCCCACTAAAGGTAAATTTTTACTTTGACAGTCTTAGTGTTGTTTCCTTGTGTTTATTATACCTCCCCTCTCCCCTTATTTGACATATTTTGTGGTCAGGGAAGAATTAATGAGACATCAACAGCTGAATCAGTATCAGATGTTCATGTTCCATGTTCTCCAATTAGACGAAGTAGCAGTTCAATTCCACAGCTGTTCCAACTTGATGAGGTAGTGAGTATTACAGTATTATATAACTGTAGTTTAGTTTAAAATGACATTTCTTATCAAATATATCAGGCGTTTGTAAGGTGCAATAATCACCATGATGTGTATACAAATATAATTATCAGATTAGTGTTATCCATTGCTCCAAAAACAAAGGGAGAGGGAGAAAAAAAAAATGGTCCTCAATAATGGAAGGGAAAATAGTTATCATGTATTTATAGTGTGTGCAAATGTGTTCCTTTTAGATATGGGTTACAATTATTTTACCTTAAATCTTGTTCGTGCAGGCAAGGAAATCGAATTCTACCCCCTACTGTAGTTGTGATGAGCAATTTAGCACCGGTGAACTAGTTGATGTTATTGAGCACTCCCTATGTTGTCCAGAGCCTCGAGAATGCAATCTGACGAATTTGTCCACTAATGCACGAACAACTTCTGAAGGTATTTGTCTTCATTGTTTATCTATACTACCAGTAGAATGTATTCTGATACAGTTGCCAGCTGGACCTGTTTCTAATGATGTGATATTATTTATGATGAAGACTTGCTCAACTGTAACTTCAATTATGATTTGAGTTCCAGTTGTATTGTCCGGAGTGTCTCGTGTATTTGAAACTCGTTACTTGACAATTATATCTAATGTAAACTTGATTATAGAGAGAGATCTCAAAATCGCTTATTTTTAGCCATACAATTATAATGAAAAGAATTTGAACTGACATCAAAATTAGGAGAATCGAATTCATTTCAAATAGTAATAAAATGCTTAGATGTTAATAATGACGGTTACAAAAGTACCTAACATTTTTGAACAGAGAAACTTTATCAAATCTCTCACCTAACAAGTTGATTATATTTTGACTAAATTGGTTATCAAAAGTAATATTTTGACTAAATACTGATTTTAGCCAGATTTCCATGAAAAGTTGCTAAAATATTCATATTCATTAGCCAATTCTCTATCCATCTCTTTCTTCTATTCATTCGTTTCTGTGTGTCTACTAGACTGATGTGCATTGCCAAATCTGTAAACATCCAAGCAAGTACATCAGTTGATCTATGAGGTTATTAACTTCCAATTAAAAGATTGTACTACTGGAACATCAGCCTGATGGGGATTCATGTCCCATTTATTATCCGCTCTTTAGGTACATTGGTGATTCATTGGTTTGAAACGATCCAGAAAAAGGTTTTGAGCAGATGTATGCACTGCTTGGAAAGGAAACTAGTTCCTTTCATACTCAAACTCTCTGGACTGATTTGTGGTCTGTTCTACGAGTATTGGAGGAAACAGGCAAATGCTTCCCGCACTAGTGCATTAGAAGAAAGACAAGAAAGCAGTTCTTCTGCTTATGGTGAAGTTGTTCATAAATCGGATGAGGCCCTCCCATGCATGGAGCGTCTTCATAAACTGGAAATGTTGTTTGAAGAAATAAAGAGAAAACCTGCTGAGATCCCAGCAGAGAAGGACCAAATGATCCAGCAATCATTGGAAAGGATCAAATCAGTAGAGGTGGACCTCGACAAGGCAAAAAGGGTATGCCTTATTATTGACAGTTATATAGTATTAAACTTAACTTGGATTATTCAACTGTCTTGTTCTATATTTTTCAACAGGTATTGCATACTGCAGTGGTGAAACAACTCGAAATTGCAGAATTGTTGGAGAACCTAAAACAGTCAAGTAATCATGTAAGATTTTTTACATTACAAATATGAACTCGGTTGCTCATCATTTGTCAGACGGCCTATCAACCACCTCATATTTTCTAAGGTGGTTAATTATGGCATCTGGTAGGTTTCTCGTTTACCTGTCTTTTTCATTTTCATGCTTAGGGGAGAGGCCCGAGAGGGTTACATGGTAGGGTTGAGCATTGTTGAAAGATGAAATCAGGAAAATCAACTGTCAAGTCATTTTGTCCGTTGGCTTCTTGCTTTTGCTTTCCTCCCAATACTTTTGACGTGGAGCATAAATTTCTGAATCCACCTTTGTTGTTGTTATGTTGGGGGGGTCTTAAACTGGGTGTTGGGGACACTATGTCAAGTATAAACTATCACCTTTCTCGACACTACCAAGTGCTTATTGAAAGTTGGAAGGTTAATGCCTTCTCTTCTTCGATGTTTCTGAAACTCAGATCTTTTTGTTGCAGCGGAGGAGGTTATTATGTTGAATATACGAGAGGGTTGATGCAACTTGAGTTTTGAGTGCTAATCGTGCTGCGAGGGCAGTAGATGTCAGAGTTTCTGCATTTTTGAGTACTTCTAATCCTTTTACACAGAGCTCACAGAAATGTTTCTTTCCAAATGTTCATTAATACTAATAATGTGTCAAAAAGGAAAAGCTTAAAGGAAACAGTTTCAAATTTTATGCAGTAAATGTGCCTTTACAAGTTGCCAGTGTGAAGAATCAACTACGTGCTGATGTTTTCCAGGAGAACGTCTTGGCATGTGTTGTAGAAAAATTTGTTTTGACTAGTTCTTTCGTGTTAATAGTCAAAAATACATTTAAATATGATTTTTTTTCCGAATTTCACACCTAATAATTAGTTATTACTCAACATTCATTTATTTGTGTCTTAGTTATAATTCATTTATTTTTGTCTTAGTTATAATCTCCAAAATAGTTTGAGCTCGTCGTATCGAACTTTTCTAGTGCAGACCTCTCCTATTGGTTTGCAAACTATTGCATAGGAATGGGTGTTTTACTCATGTGCAGAGTATAGCGACTGCGGATTTTTCTGTCAAAAAAAAAATGTTCAAGAGTACAATGTTCAAAGCATAATTTCATGTTCACATAAACTCTGAAATTATTTATTATAAAACAAATATTAGTGATTTCTTATTCAATTTAAACTCGTGAAGTATAAATCATAGGTTACTTAGAGTTCTTCTCACGAGGACAATTATATCAATTATTTGCAACACGTAAGAAATGCCACCGACATTACATTAAATGAAACCATGTGAATTAGGATAAAATAATAATCGTCCAATCAAAGAGGGCAGGAGTTTCTATCTTTTTATTTTTATTTACATCTTTCTTGGGACTTAAAAAAACTAATTTAATATTCAAATAAATACGATTGAATAAATATTTATACCAAAATTAATATGACATACATTTACACAAATTTGAATAAGTTAATCATATGATTAATTGTTGGTATAAAAATAATATTATTTAGTTAATTAACTATGATAAGCTAATAAATAATATATTTTAAGGTATTACCCAATGTTGCAATTAAATAAGTTTTATCAACCAAAAAAAAAAAGAAAAAAACTAAACGAGGTAGTATAATTTGATATTTGGAAGGAAAACTTGACATTGATTTGGTCACAATATCGATATGATAATAACTATATGTATACATAGGTTGATTGATATAGAAAACTTATAAATCATGTTTAAATTTGATTGCATTAATAAACAGATTTTTTGGAAAGTTTTTGGCCCTACAAAGTATATTTTTTAAATAACGAGAAAGAAACAGATTGAATCAGATAGAACGTTATCCATTTTAAAAATAACAAATAAAATCTTGATATATAATGTTATTTCTTCTGTGATTCTGGAATTGTAGTTTGAGAATTCTCTTAGATTAGATCTTTTGGCAAGTCTTAGAACCAACAAAATATTTTAGATGATTCAGAAACAACAAATTCAATTGGATATAAGGTATACCTCTAACCCAGTCTCTCATATTTTAAAAATAATAGATAAAATACTAATAATTATGGCTACTTTCTCATGTTGTTGTAGTTGAAGTAGTATTCTCCAAAAAAATTTATCGACAAATATCTTCATTATACAATCATGAAAATGCAGATACTTGTTGGAAAAGAAGCAAATAAAACTACACTCACTTCCTATATCAGAATCACTCACCAATTAGGTCAAACTCAAGCAAGATTTTCTCAAAAAGGATATAAGTCTTAATATGTTTGTGTCCAATACATTCTTGTATCAGAGCAAATCGAAAATTGATTTGATGTCAGAAAGAACTACTTAGTTAAATTCATTGACGTGCAACACTCCTCATGATTTACTTGAACGCGAAATATTTCTTGCATCAAATTATTTTGTAATATTTAATAATCATAATCACAACTGTTTCTCCCCTGCTGTTGTAATTGAAGACAGTTCTTCGCGCATGAAGGGCTATTCTTTGAAGAAATTCTCTGACTATTGTCTTCATTATAGGATCACAAAAATAAATATATTTTGATCGAAAATAAGCAAATAAAACTACACTTGCTTGCTGTATCTGGGATCACTCGTCAATTAGGTCAACTTCAACAAGATTTTACTAAAAATAACATATTCCTCATAATACTCGTATCCAATCAATTCTTGTATCAGAGCAGACTCAACCACTGATTTGACGTCAAAATGAATTGCTTAGTTAAATTCTTTGAGGTGCAACCCTCGCCGTGAACTCACCTGAATGCGAAGTATTTCATGCATCAGATTGTTGTATCATTAATTAATAATCACAATCGTAACTACTCCTCCAGTGCTATTACAGTTAAAGTAGCATTATCCGAAGAAATTCTTCGAGTGCTATCTTCATTATAGGATCGCGAAAATGGAGATACTTGACGGAGAAGAACCAAATAAAACTACATTCACCTGTTCTACCGGAATCGCTCGCCAATCAGGTCAAATTGAAATGAAATTTTACCAAAAAACATATTCTTCACGCGTTCGTATCCAATCTATCTTTGTATCATAGTAGACTGAACCACGGATTTTAACGCCAAAATACACTGCTCTAGTTAAATTTCGACTGTGCAACCCTCGCCATGACCTCACCTGAACGCGAAATATTTCATGAACCAGAGATTGTTTTACAATTAATTATTATTAGAAAATTTTATTAAATCCCTAAAAAAATCAAATGGAAGCTTACATCAATTTTGTCAATTTTCAATTCCATTTAATACTATTTTATTTTTTTCCCATTAAAATATACCCCTAAAGCCAAAGATTATCTCTTTCATTCCCTATTTGGAGTAGAAAAATGTCCTTTGCAGAAGAACCGAGTGGATAAACATAGAAACTTTTCTCCCTTTTTCTCTTCAACCCAAATCTCGATCTACAATTAGTTTTCATTTTTCTTCGTGTTTAATCAATCAAATTTATTTTCGATGTGTTAATTGATGTCTGATTGTTAAATTTCTGGATCGGGATCGAACGAACCTCGATCAATCTGTTCCCTTTTGTGTTCAAGGTTAGAATTTTTTTGAATTAATTTCTGATTATTATTTTTGTCGGTTGTTTGTGTTTATGTATATATATATATATATTTTTTGCATAATTGATAAATTTGTGGAAGTTAGGGTTTTTTTTGTTTTTTTTTTCATTTCGGTGGCCTATTTCAGTGTGTTGATTATGGATGATTAATGTTTTGGTATCGTGTTCTGTGTTTTGGAGTTTGATTTTTGTGTTTTTTTATTTGATTGTGCAATTTATGGCACGATCTATGATGCTGGATTTTGCTTGTTTATTGTTGAGTTTATCTGCTGTAAATTTGTGATGTTTTGATATGTCCGTAGGTTGAAAACTTAAGTTTCTTCTAATTTCGGCAGCATTAAATTTTTGAGTTAGAAAAGTTATTCAATTTGGTTGTATATCCTAGATTGGACTTTGTATTTATTAATTGTGGAATTTATGGTGTTATGGTTATTATGACATGATCTTTGATGCTAGATTTTGCTTGTTTATTATTGAGTTTATTTGTTGTTAATTTGTAAAGTTTTTATATGTAAGGCTGGTTGAATTGAACCTTAATTTTCTTCTACTTTGGGCAGCATTAAATTTTTAAGTTAAGAAAAGTTCCTCGCCTTTGGTTGTATGTATATTAGATTGAATTTTGTATTTATTCAATATGTAATCGAATTGCTACGGGCGGGGGTGCAGAGCATAAGCACTTGGTTCATCCGAACCCTTGCTATCAGGGTCGATTTTTTGTGGTAAGATTTGGGGATTTCGTGGTTTCTCTGTGAAGTTAGGTATTTTATGTGTACTATCTTTAATCGTGGTATCATATTATCTGTTGGCATCCATGCTACAGGAAGGCTGAATGGTGCATTTGGTTGAATGTTTGTTTATATTTACCTGGAGGGATCAGTTCTCACTTAATATGTTTTTTCTTCTTTTTTAGTGGTCATCTATGTTCTAGAAAAACTTAGATTTGATTCTGAAGGCTATCATGTTCCATGTCTTAAGAGTTTGACTTTTGTGCTTTTCAATTGTGGAAGTTATGAAGTTTTGTTTGTTGTGACGTGATCTTTGATGCCAGACTTTTCTAGTTCATGTTGAGTTTATTTGTTATTAATTTACAGAATTTGTGAACTTGTGTTATGCAGATTCAACTTAGATATTTGTTTATTTTGGCCAGCATTATTCTTTAGTCAGATGGTGATATGAAATGAGCTAATAGAGGAGTGAGATTCATATAGCCGACCCTAACTTGTTTGTGACTAGGCATAGTTATTGGCCAGGATTAAATTGTTCAGTCAGAAAAGTTTCTCCCTTTGGTCGTTTATTTTTCTAAAGAAAGGTAACTTGTTCCGTTGGTCATATTTAGAAAAAGGTGTTTTTTCTTACCTTTTTTTTTATTGCACATGTATATTGGATCTTTTGTACTATGAATCTTAAAGGTCAAACTCATCAAGATTAAATCCCGGATCTGCCTGTGGGAATATATTTTCCTAAAGTCATGTCGTAGGCTTGTTACATGCTTGTTATACTGTGATCCCCAACTATTGTTAACGTAGGAGGTTGAAAGCATGATTTTCTCCATGTGTTGTAATTAAGTTACTGACTGTAGATATAGGCTATAACTGTTCTTCTCTTCTCTGTTTGGTGAAGTTGATAATTTTACTTCAGGGATTATTAGTGTGCTCATTTGGCATGATTTCTATGCATATTCATGCAAGAATTCGTGTTTTCATTGTTTTTTTTTTGCAATCTAATTCGTATCCAATGGAATCTTTGATTTTATCACGAGCTGGTCTTTTTAGAGGCCTGGATAGAGAACAAGATGTATGATGTGTGCCTCGCTTTTTTAATAAAAGAAAGTTATATCTGATCCTTTAGAGTTCTTTGTTTTTTAAATGTGATGCATTTGTGGATTGAGATACTGTTCAAAGAATAGCGTTAAATTAGTTTTTCTCTATATGGATGCGCTGACGCTCTAGTCGTGTGGTGCTGTATGATTAATTGAGTATCTTGTCCCAACTTGACTTAGAAGTTTGTATTAATATACATTTTCACAATTCTTGAACGTAGTTTACTTAAATTTGTTAGGTCATTTGGTTGGGGTAAAACATGTCTCATCAACAAGAGGATGATGCTGATTACATGGCAAACGAGTATGACATGGAAGCTATGGATGATGATATGGATGACGAGTTCCATGGCCGAGATGTTGGTGGCTCTGATTCAGATGCAGATGATTATGACTTCACGGTTTGTGAATTCATCCATAAAAGCTTAATTGCGGCATTTACAGGGGCGTGTTAGATGTATTGATTTGATTTTAATGATTCGTA